CCCATACATGTCCTGCCATCAAGGCATCCTCCAGCCTCGGCTGCCACTGGGAAGGGAGGGAGGGAGGGATCACCTTGGAATCCTAGAACGGGTTGAGTTGAAAGGGACCTTAAAGCCCATCTCGTTCCTGTCACGGGCAGGGATGTCACCAGATGGCCGGTTGGCTGGCTGGCTGGCTGGATGGATGGAGGGATTGTTGATCCCAGGTGCAGCCCCCAGCCCTGGAGCTGGGCACTGGCCCTGCTGGCTCCTCCCAGGCAGGCTGTGAGCGATGGCCAGGCGGTGTTTGCCCAAGGAGAGGGTTCCTCACGGGTGTGTCGGGACGCGTGGGTTCCTCACCTACGTCAATGCCCAGGATTTTTGTGGAACCAGAGCCCTCCTGGCATGTTGGCCTGGGCTGTTATCTACTGATTAAGCCCTGGGTATCTCCCCAACTTCCCGTGGGTGCTGTTTGCTCTGCCTGCTGCAGGACTTTGGCTGCTCTTGGATCCTTCAGCGGCAGGAAACACGGATTTGGGTGCCCCCGAGCTGGCCCAGAGCAAAGGGGAACGCCCTGGAATGGTCATAGCTAATTTTTAGGAGCTGGCTGGCTTATTGTTGCCCTCACAGGCTGCACAGGGGATGAGCTGAGCACCTTTTGGTGGCTTCTAAACATTAATGGTGGGCAAAGGTGGGGTTTTGAGTGGAAAATGAGTAGGTTTGCCATGTTTGCAACACATGCGGCTGCTGGCACTGACGTGCTTTGCCAAATATCAGGAGGAGAAGGCAAAAAAAATAGCAGGAGGGGAGCTGCAAAGGACCTGATTGCTGTGGGTGACTGGGAGTCAGGGGTTGCATCGCAGCTGGATGCTCTGGTGACTTCACAGCACTGGCCCAACATGGATCAGGGATACAGGAGGGACGTGCTGGGGAGTTCCCCTGGATGCTCCAGCTCCACCTCCCCCTGACACTTTCTGCTGTCCCAGCACAGGATGCCCACTGAAGTTCATTCCCCTTAGACTCCAGGACCAGGAAAGCTCTGGGGGATCCATCCAATCTCAGGTGGGTCATCTCAGTCCTGGGGGGTACCTGATGCTGCTCCTGTGCGCCCCACAAGGCATCCCACTGAGGGCAGGCTGTGGGGGGAAACAGAGGCTCTGGTGGATCACCAAACCTCCCCACCTGTCTGATCTCTCACAGGGGGCTGGGCAGGCACCTGAGTTCAGGATGTGTGGGATTATTTGGGATGTGTTTGTGTAGGAAGCCCTGTTGTTGCCTCTCTTGGATGTATTCAGAGCATCAATCCCACTCCAGACAAATTGTCCTTTACCCCATAGTTGCCTCCTAAGTGTGGATCTGGATACCGAGGAAAAGCTGAATATGCTACAAACCACCCCCAAAAGGTGCCTCTTCCCAGTCCTAGCCCTCTCTGGGACCCTGGAGAGCAGTGGGACTCACCTTTGGCTGCCCAGGGACCTCGCTCTGCCCACTCCTGGCAGAGCACAGCCCCAGCTCCCCACTCAGCCTTATCTCAGCACACCACAAATGCAAACAGCAGAGCTGCTGCAGGGCAAGCCATGAGGCTCCTGCAAGCCCTGGCAGGGCAGGACACAGTGGAGAGGCAGCTCAGCTCCTCAGGCTCTCCACTGCCTGTGGACGCTTTCCAGCGGGGTCCAGCCTGGTCTCGTGTCCCCACATCCTGCACACTTTGCCTGCTTCCTGCAGCCAGGAGGTGAGTTTGGCTTTATCTCCAAACCTGGGGGTTTGTGGATGGGAAAGCAGCAAGAAGCCCCTTGGTTTGCATCAGAACAGCTGCACTAATTAACCTGCCACAAATATCATCTATTCTTGCACAGGTTTTCCATCTGAAAGCGCTTTCCAAATGTGTCTGGTGCTAAATCCAGGAGGAAGTTGGCTTTGGAGCACAGGCACATGCACTGACTTGACTGTAGCTGTTATTTCCTTGAGCAGATTCTGTAAAGACACAAAAATAAACCGGTGTGGAGTCAAGCAATGCTGTTTTTGTGGCAGTCAGGGACTGCCATGGGGTTATTCCCAGAAATAGGGAGTCACCCAGCTGGAAGGGTGTAGACCCCTCTGGTTCTCAGAGGAAAACTGCAGCACTGGGAATAGCCAAGAGGATGGAGGGCTCTGTTTTGAATCCCAAGGGATGCCCAGGAGCTGTGGGAATGAGGATCCAGGGGAGTTTGCCAGGGGAGTCTGAGATGTGCAGTATTTGCCTGGTGTGCATAAAGTGTAATTTGTAATGCAGGGGACTCACTTGGGAGAACCTAAAACTGAAATCAGCTCTGAACTCGAGGGCTGGGCAAACTGGTATTTTAAAAACCCTCCTTTTGGCAAATGAGGACAAGTCTCAATCCTTGTTTGAGCTGCTCCCCAGTCTCTGGGGGACTGGTTGTGCCCCATGGGCTGTGCTGGGTGGGGGATCCCTTTGGCCACAGCAGGGACCCCAGTGTTAGTGGGATTGGCATGTGCAGGGGGTAGGGCTGCCAGCACCCCAGCAGGAGGATTTACTGCAAAATCCCGCTGTATTTCCGCTGCCTGTGTCCCTGGGACACCTCAGAGTAGTTACCACACAGCACTGTTGCACACTGTGGTAATCTTCCTTGTAGTATCATCCTGTACATGGAAATTGCCCCCACCCCCCAAAAAAAATCTCTTTCCAAGATGGGCCATCAAGCCAGCACAGCATCTGCACATCCTGGGAAGCATCCCACTCCTCCCACTCACACCACTCCTCAGGGTGATCTATTTAATAGCCAGGATTTATTTGGAACACTGAGCTCTGCAGTGCTTTTAATGGAGCAAGGAAGTGAACATTTGATAACAGCAACCTCCGGGTCAAATGTGCTGAGAATTCATAACTCTCCATGGAGGGGTTTTGGAAAACCATCCAAGCAAAACAATCTCCCAGAACGAGCGGCTGAAGATTCGTGTTTCTCCTCACAAGGCACAGAGCAGGGATCTGCTGGAGTGGCTCCTTATTCTCTGCCCACAATTTGCAAATAAAGTGGTTTAAATGTGAAGGACTGTCGGGAGCATGGCTTTGCTGGGATGCTCACAGAGACCTGAGCCCTTGGACCTCTCAACCATCCAAGAGGGAATATTAATCCAGTAATGGGAATGTCCTGATGGTCCCAGTTCTAACAAGAGCAGAGCTGGGGTTTTCTGCTTCAAGAGTGTGGCATTAAGATTTGAAAAGGAACAAAAGCAGGGAGCTCCAGTCCTGGGTCTGTGCTGGAGCAGCAGCAGGGATGGCTTACAAGGGCATGGAGTGACAGGACAAGGAATGGATTTAAATTGACAGGGGGCAGGGGTAAATGGGATATTAGGAAGAAATTCTTCCCTGTGACAGGGGTGAGGAACTGGAATGGAATTCCCAAAGAAGTTGTGGCTGTCCCAGCCCTGGAAGTGTCCAAGGCCAGGTTGGATGGGGCTTGGAGCAACCTGGGCTAGTGGAAGTTGTCCCTGCCCATGGCAGAGGGTGGAGTGAGATGATCTTTAAGGTCCCTTCCAAACCAAATCATCCAGGGATTCAGAGATGGGTTTAGGAAAAACAAACCCAGAAGCCTGAAAATCTGGCCAAGGTGAGATGGACGATGGAGCAGCCAGAGAGCAACTTTTTCTTTCTGTTTTCTTTTCCAAAGCCAGGAGTAAATTGGCACCACCTGTCTGAGGGAGAGGAAGGCGGGGGAAGGTAGAGGGAAATTTTGCCCTTTGAGCACTGTAGATTATTTTAATCTCCTGCTGCTGGTGCTCCCCCGACCTCTGGAGCTGAGCAGGGTGACACAGCTGAGCATCACCAGGGCTGTGTTATCCAAGCCTTGGGAACACGGCAGGTCCAATCCTCTCCATTCCCCATCTTCGGCTCAAATTCCACACCTGCAGGGAGGCCCTGGGTGCTGCCCCTCCCAGCAGAATGCTGGGACAATGAGAGACAGTGGGAATACAACAGGAAAAATTATCATAGAATTATATAGAAAGAGCAAATGGTTTGGGCTTAAAGGGACATTAAAGCCCATCTCATTCCACCCCCTGCCATGGGCAGGGACACCTTCCACTAGCCCAGGTTGCTCCAAGCTCCATCCAACCTGGCCTTGGACACTTCGAGGGCTGGGGCAGCCACAGCTTCTCTGGGAATTCCATTCCAGTCCCTCACCACCCTCCTAGGGAACAATTTCTTCCCAATATCCCGTCTAAACCTGATCTTTTTTATTGCTACAAAAAAAAGCAGCATTCCCTCCTCTGCAGCCTACTTTGGCCAGCAGATTGTACCCAGGGCCACACTGGTGCCTGGTGGCCCCAGCTTTGTCACCCACTTCACCCCTGGCACCTTCTCCCACACTGTGCTGGGAATCTGTGAGAATCTGGGACATGATGGGAAACTGAGTGGGAAAGAACCAGATCTGCAGTGCAGCATGGAAAAAAGCACTACTTTAATATTTCATATGACGAGATCCAGCTCTGAGAAGCGGCTCAGGAGCTGTTACAGCTTGGTGTTTGCAGGGGAATTTCCACAGGGTTCATTTTGCTCTGAACTTATCTGTATTCTGGAGGGTGACATGGAAATGAAGCTCATTAATTACCTGAACACACAGAGCTCTGTTTCCTCCCATTCCCTTTAATCAGTCAAGTTTTGGACACTTCCAGGGGCCTCTTGGACGCTGGGTTGTCATTCCAGGTGTCTCCCCTGTGGTGGACCCTGGCTGCTGATCCCAGGTGGCATTTCAGGAGGGAATTTCCTGTGTCACCAGCCTGTCAAATGGTGCAGAGCAGATTCCATGCAGGAACTCCTGGTGCTGTGCAGGCTTGTGTTCTGGTAGGACCAGGAGTGAGGAGCTTGGTCTGGCTTATGGAGGCACGAGATGGGTCTCACCTAAAACTTGTCCCTTCTTTGTCCCTTTAGGTGGGTCCCAAAGCTCTCCTGGGACTGAGGTTCAGGAGAAGCAAAGCTGGTTTTCACCTGTGCATCAGTGTCCTGCCTCCAGAAATCCCTTTGCATGCTCCAGACAGTTTGGGTGTCTTCACCAGGGAGCTGGACTTTAAGGGAGTCTGAACGTCACCACGGGGGCAGAAAAAGGAGCTGGAGATGTAGATGTCTCAGAACTGTAATCCAGGTAGGTCTTGATTCCTTGATTGTGTGAAACCACCCACTTCCTGTCCTTACAGCCTCTCCCTGGTCCTTCAGCAGGACCCCTCACATCCTTCAAGGCTGAAGTGTGAGCAGAAGGGCCAGACTGGGAAAAGGGCTTTGGTGCCTCCATGCTGATGTCTTAGCTTTGGCTGACACCCCCCAACTCTAATCATGACCTTCTCCCTGTGACTCTCACAGCTCTCTGTCCACCTAATTCCACAGATTCCCTGGGTATCTCCTGCTTCTGGACAAGCATGTGCTGGGATGATGCTGCAGTGCTTGGAAAACATTCCCTACTCCAACCTGCGTCAGGGATGGGCTTGGGGGTCCTTGCCTTGAGTGAACCTTCTCACCTTGCTCTCCCTGGGCCCTTCCTCCCTCTCTGCCCACCCAAAGAAGATGTAGCTGTGCCATGAGACACAGCTGCCTGTCCCCCCTCCAAGGCCTTTCCTTATTCCCCTTGCCTACCTGGGAATGAGGAGGTGGGACACCAAAGCTTCATCCCACAGATGCAGCACCCTGAGAGAGCTGATCACTGGGCCTGTCACTGTCCAAAGCCAGGTCCTACCGTTTCCCAGTCCTGCTGAGCATTAACTGGCATCTCTTCTTGCTGTTCCTTGACTCTCCTCAGCATCCATGCCAGAGGCATGTCCCCAAACGCCCAGGGAAAGCAAGAATGTTGAGGAAAATCCAGATCTGCCTCTGTTTCTGCTTTGTCTCGGGCATCTTGTACGAGATCTCTCTGCTGTCCAGCTGTGTCTTCAACTACCTGCCCATGTCCCAACACTACTTGACACCTGAGCAGGTCCTGAGCCTTGGGAAAAGCATCATTTTCCTGGAGACCACAGAGCGGCTGGAGCCACCCCCGCTGGTGTCCTGCTCCGTGGAATCTGCTGCCAGGATTTACCAGGACAGGGCCGTCATCCTCTTCATGAAGGGACTCACCAATGAGACGGCCTTGGACCTGAACACCAGCTATGCAGCCTTCTCACTTCTGTCTTCCATGAAGAATGTCTTCATTTTCCCTCTCCAGATGAAAACTGTCTTCCAGGAGACCCCTCTGCTCCAGTGGTACAACCAGGTGAGTGTTGTAACAACGGGAAAATAGGAAAACAACCATAAATAGGGGTGGGAAAAGGCCTGAAGTTGGGTTAGAAGGAACGAGGAACACTGGACTGGTTGTGTGAAATCAGTGATTTCATTTTTTGGCTGGGAATAGATTCATTTTGGTTGTGTTTTGCCATGTATTCATCAGTCTGTTTATTGAACACATCATTGGCTGTGTTCAGTTTCCCCCTTATCTGGAGAATGAGATTTTTTTTGGCAAAGGAAACGTTGATAAAAACAGATTTCATACATGTTTCGAGAAAACAGCTCCTAATAACCTTCCTCAGCAGAAGCTGGTCAAACAAAACGTGCTGCCTGAGCTCCTGTTAATGCTGCCACACACTGACACAACCTGCAGTAGATACCACGTGGGAGAGATTCCAGGTTTTATGGCAGCAATGCACAAAGCCAAGGTGGGATCTCGGGAGCTCCACCCTGGAAGAAGTTCTGGCTAAGTGCTGGAAAGCAGCTTGTCTCAAATTTGTTGGGCAAGGCAGACATATTTCCTAAAACTTTCTTCCCCCAAGAAAAAACGACTCCAAATGCCAACAATGCCCATGAAGAGCCCGGTTCAAAGGGCTGGGAGTGCTCAGGGAGTGTGTTAAGTGGGTTGTGTCCCACTGGAACAGCAGCAGTGATTCATGGCAGCGTTGGCTTAACACTGTAGGTCCCATTAAACCACCCGGGAAACACTCCTGCTTTCCTTTGTGTTAACAAAGCTTTGCTCCTTATCTTATTCCAACAAAATCCAGGGGCTGGAGGCAGCAGAGGTGGGCAGGGGCATTTGCAGGCATGGTTTTACACCCGAAGGATGGATGAGATCCGTTCTCTGATCTCCTCGTTGCTGTCTCCCCTTCCCAACCCTGCAGGTGGTCCCGGAGCAGGAGAAGAACTGGGTGCATGTCAGCTCCGACGCCAGCAGACTGGCACTCATCTGGAAGTATGGAGGCATCTACATGGACACGGATGTCATCTCCATCAGGCCCATCCCTGAGCGCAGCTTCCTGGCAGCGCAGAAGTCACGCTTCTCCAGCAACGGCATCTTTGGCTTCCCCGCCCGCCACAAGTTCATCTGGGACTGCATGGAGAACTTCGTCCTCAAGTACAACAGCAACATCTGGGGCAACCAGGGCCCCTTTTTGATGACCAGGATGCTCAAGACCCTCTGCAACCTCACGGATTTTGAGGGCACCGAGGACCACAGCTGCCAGAACATCTCCTTCCTCAACCCCCAGCGCTTCTACCCCATCCCGTACCCAGCCTGGAGCAGGTACTACCAGGTGTGGGATGAAAGCCCCAGCTTCAACCACTCCTACGCCCTGCACCTGTGGAACTTCATGAACCACAACAGGAAGGCCGTAGTCGCCGGCAGCAACACCCTGGCCGAGAAGCTCTACAAGGCCTATTGCCCCACCACCTACGAGGACCTGATCCAGAACGCCAAGCAGATGGACTTCACGGGCTCTGAGGATGATGTGTGACAGGGGGTAAGGAGGAGAGGGGTGATCCTCCCAGCCCTCCCCATGCTGGGGCCAAAACACAGTCACCACCGGTGTCCATGCCTGGCTTTGCAGGAGAAAGAGAGAACTTTTCATAACCAGCCCCCCTCCCCGTTCCATTGGGATGCTGAGGATGGTGGTGGGATGTTGTCTCCAGGGATACTAAGGACACCTTTGCCTCAGTTCTGTTTCCTGAGAGGTGCTCATGAACCAAACCTTCCTTAATCAAAGGGATTTTGAGCCTTCTAGTGAGCTAAAAAGTTCCTAAAGAGATGCGTGGCCTCCTAGGAGGAATTTTTTCTCCATGCTCTTGGGAGCTGCCACCTCAGAAAAGCTGGAAACACAACAGGCTTCGGACTGGGCTGAAGCCTCTGAGGCAAACAAGGGTGGGTGACAGAAATTTCTGCTGAAGAGAAGCCCAAACCACCACTTTTTCCCTGTGTTTTTCTCACATGAACTTTACCCCCTACGTTTTTGAGAGGGACATTACTACTGCAAGTGAAAATAAACAGGTTAATAAACCACCACTCCTCTAAGCTTGCTTTTCCCTGGAAAGTGAGTCACATTTTCCAAATGCTTGTGCTCCTGCACTTTTACTTTGGCTTTTGTCCCCTGAGGGGCTGTGCTGCCCCCCTCCTCCCAGGTCACTTCTGGCTGCAGAGCCACATGTGCCTTGGAAACGAGATGCTGAGGCACCAAGGAAGGACTGGGATGGTCCTCCAGGGTTCCCAAATCCCTCTGAAACAAATGGAGTTCAACTGCCATGGGGTGGTCACCCATGTCCAGCTGGGCAGAAATCCCCATTGAGTCCCAATAGGGCACACAGGGACTTTTTCTGCCGCAGAGCAAAGCATCCCCTGGCAGTTCCTTTCTTTCCCAGGGTAATGCCAATCCACCCCATTCCTTAAAAAGAAGCCCAGCTTGCAAATCTCTCCTGAGTCTGTCTGAGCAGCTGTTTTTAACTCCGGAGCAGAAAGGTGGGGGCGGCTCAATCGCCCTCATCCAATGTTTGCCATCTGCACAATGTTATCTCCTGTAAACACAGCAGCTAATGAGCCTCTGCAGCCAGGAATGCGGGATTTATCGGGAGAAGAGAGCCCTCTGCACACAGGGCTTCTGTGCTGTGCTCGGACACGGGGCGCCAGTCTCCTTCCAGCCCCGTGTTCCCCCAAAATCAGCCTGGCTGCACCAGTGGAAGGGCAGGTGGGGCCAAGCTGAGGGATGAGTGAGGAAAAGCCTTGATTTAAAGGTGTGTGAGACACTGAGGGCACTTGGTGTGTTCAGCTGAAGAAGAGGAGACTGAGGGGAGACCTCACTGCAGTTCCAACTGCCTGGGCAGGGCCAGAGGAGGGGCAGGACTGAGCTCTGCTCTGGGGGGACCAGGGACAACACCCAGGGAATGGCTGGAGCTGTGTCAGGGCAGGGTCAGGTTGGATCTCAAGAAAAGGTTCTTCCCCCAGAGGGTGGTTGGCACTGAACAGGCTCCCCAGGGCAGTGGGCACAGCCCCAAGGCTGCCAGAGCTCCAGGAGGGTTTGGATGATCCTCTGGGGCACAGGGGGTGACTCTTGGGGCTGGGCCTGTGCAGGGCTGAGGGTTGGACTGGATGGTCCTTGCAGGTCCCTCCCAGCTCAGCAGATTTTGTGATTCCATGATTGTGTGGTTGGAGCAACAACATGGCATGGAGGAATATTTTTCCATTCCCTTTCCTGGGGTGAAGCTCTCGTGGCTCAGCCCTGGGGCCATGAGTTTCATGCTCTGGTTCCATCCATGCTGGTTGCCCCACACTCCATCACAGCTGGCTTTTCCTGCCCGTGGCATCAGGATCTGCTTTTCCTCCAGGACTTTGACTTTCCATTGCTGAGGGGATGCAGGGGAGGGTCACAGCCCAGAAAGTCCTTCCTGTTTCCCACACAGCTCCAGGCAGCCCCTGACTGTTCCCTCCTGCCTCTCACCCCCCACACTCATCTCTCTGCTTCCATCCTCATCCCTTCTCTCCAGTTTATACCTCAGCCTCTGGAAACAAGTGAGTATTTGCCTCTTCTGCCCATGACTCGACTCTCCAGGCTCCCCTGTGTCCATGAGGGGAGGGCCAGGGCTGGGGTACAAGCAGAGACTTCCCTGCTCAAGATGAGCTCAGGTGAGAAGCATTTCCGAGGCTCTGCTGTGGTGCCTCCCCAGGGCAGTCCAACCCCATCCCATTTCTCTCTCCTCCCTGACAGGAGAGGAGGGATCCTGTCAGGGCTCAGAGCATAGCAGGGCTGATGGCAGCAAGCACAGCCAACCCCCTGAAGGTCTCGCATGAGGGGTGTCCTGCTCCCACCCCCTATGAGTCCCAGGAGGAGAAGCTGAGAAAGAGAGGGAGGTGCTGGGTGCTTTTGGAAATGATCTGGAGGAGGAGGGGAATCAGCCCATGCACAGCCTGGGTCTCCTGACCCCTCTGTGCTTCGTGATAAAGCATCTCCCAAAGTTTTCCAGCTTCCAGACGGGCAGGGAACAGAGGGATTGTTGCCCCTGGGGCACCCCTTGCAGAGGACAACCCAAAAACTGGGAGCTGGGATGGCAAACACAGTGTCTTCCAGCATGGAAAATGAAATCCCATCACACTTCCTGAGAGCCAAGAATATTAGCACTGTGGTGGAGCAGGGATTCACACAGTGCAGTAGGAATGGCGCAGGTGACTCCCTCCAGTTCCAAGATGTGCTGGGGGGTTCCAGCTGATACCTCTGAGATGGGCCTTCCAACAGAATCTCAGAGTGCCTTGGGTTGGAAAGGAGCTTTAAAGGTCATTTAGATCAGCACATCATTAGGGGATTTTTAATTCGAGGTCCCTGCAAACCCTTCCCCTTTAGGAGTGGTTAATTCATGCCAGAAATCCTCACCTGCAGGGACAACACCAGGTCTGTGCAACACACAGCTCTGGGTCAGGGTTGCATTTCCACCTGGATGGGCTGATCCCCCAGTGTGGGCAGGGAGGGATTGTGCCCCTCTGCTCCCTGATGGGAGACCGCCTTGCAGAGCTGCCTCCAGCCCTAGGGAACAGCACAGCAAGGACATGGAGCTGCTGGAGAGAGTCCAGAGGAGGCCCCAGGATGGAAGGGGGAGCAGCTCTGCTGGCAGAAAAGGTGGGAGAGTTGGGATTGATCAGCCTGGAGAGGAGAAGCTTTGGGGTGACCTGATTGTGGCTCCCTAGTGCAGACAGGAAAGAGAAAAGCCCTAAAACAGAGAGGGGCTGTTGGCAAATACCCAAGGAGTACATGGTGACCCCAGCCCTGAGGGCTGTTTGCCCTCTGACATCCTCAGCCAGTGGCTTTGACAGGTGAGGGGTTGTTCTCCAAGAGCTGGTGCCAGAGCTGTGCCACCCTCAGATCCCTGACAAGACAGAGCAGTCTGTGCCTTCCATGGGGTAAAACAAGGATGGATCAGGGCTTGCTTTTGCTCTGGGGCCTCAGCTCCTTCTTGAGCATTACGGGCTTCTTTCTTCCTGCAGGGTGACCAAAGTGGTGGCTGATGGAGATCCATCAGGTGGGCCCTGGAGTTGGGACCATCCCTATCCCGAGAGCACTGGGATGAAGCTGCAGTTTGGCTCGGGGTGTCGTGTGGTGAGGAAGGGAGGACTGCTGGGGGCACAGGGGGAGAGGATGAGCTCAGTGATCCCCTTTCAGTGCAGCTCCTTGACCAGCCTTGCTGCCAGCCCTTCTCCTGGGAAAGCTGTCCCAGGTGGCTGCTGGGCTGTAGGTGGGATTTGGGGTAAACTGTGGGCAGGCATTAATCAGATTACAGGAGGAAGCTGCTGCTTTGCAGAGGTCCCACCAGCCCCTCCCAGTCCTCACTGCACTGGTACCAGCACCACCTTGACTCCAGCCAGGAGGCTCCCCCAGGGGGGAAGCATAGGCTGCTGAAGGCCCTGCAGGGAACCCCAAACCTCCTGAAGCAGTTTTACACCATCCTGGAGGACGTGCTGGAGGAAAACCTGGAAAAGAAGGAGGTCAAGAGGGTGAGTCTGTCCTTCAGTGCCACCCCTGAGCTGCTGCAGGGCCACAGAAACTGTTCTGAACTAATTCTTTTAATTTTTTTTTTTTTTTTTTTTTTTTGGTGGGAGGAGCAACCAAAACACGAAGAGGCAGTAAAAATACACCCATGTGGAGTAATCCCACCTCTGAGAGGAAAATGGGGATGGCAGAGGCAGAATGACCCAGGGATAAACCCCCTGCCCCCCTGCTCCCACCTCCAAGCCTGGGTATTTGTATTTCTCCAGCACATCTTCCTCCCAAACAGCCTTTCCCAGGCTAAATTACCCTCCTTTGAGGGCCGGAGGGTGTTGGAGGGCACAGCAGCCCCTGGTTTTCAAGGGGCCTTGCGCTGTGCAAGCCCCTTTTCGTGCCGAGCGAACCAAACGGTGCCTCCTGCCAGCATCCCCGAGCTCCCGGCAATGCAACAACACCCCCTGGCACCCGGCAGGGGTGCTGAGGAGGGAACGCCTCCATGCATCCCCGCTCCACAGCACGGCAGAGTTCCCGGTTTGGGTCCCGAAAGCACGAGGAAAAAGCAGTGACTCGATTTTTTACATTAATGTTTCCTCGAGATGCTTTTAAGGAGCATTCCTGGTTTTTTTCCATGGAGGCTGGAGCACTGGCATGGCCCCTCTTCCCCTGGCACAGTTTTTGGGAACACTGAGGTGGTTGTGAAGGCCTCAGAGGTGCCCAAAGCCAGACTCATAGACACAGACCCCACTTGACCCTTCACTTCTCCTATTTTACATCTCTACGAGCCCAGGACACTCATGGTCCCAAAACCTCCCATGAGGAAATGCTGCACAGACCCTGGAGCCTAAAAAATGCCCCAAATTGCAAAGATTTATCTTCAGCCATTCCCCAAAGCAAATGGCTGTTTGCTTGGGAGATGTGCTGGGAAAAGAATGGGTGTCAGGGCTGAAGGGAAGTTCAGGGGCTGGGCAGGGCTTGGAGCTCGAGGGATGCTCCTG